CTCCATATTGGAGTTGAGAGTCGTCGTGCTCATAAGTAGGCTCATACGATTGAGAATATTGTGAATTTTCATAGAATGAATTTTCACGATTTCCCCAACCATAATGGTCGCTATCGAAATTTGAGTACGTCCAATCGTCTTGCCGATACCAATCTCTCTCGGTAGCTCGACGTGCACCATACCTCTTGAACAAAAACGGACAATCATCGGTGACGTGTCGTGTGGTATGACATAGACGACATGGTCTCCTTAAATCTCGACGAACACTCTCAATGGCTTCTTGAATCATAGCCGACATCCTAGCCTCACAATGTTGGTCTCTTATTTCCCTCCTTTTCATTTCATCATACGAATCATACACATAAGCACAATCCGGCTCCAATATGCATCCATTTATACGAATACCACCTGCAAAAGGAAAATCAAATAGGGGATTAAGAGAGTAAAAGAAAAATAAAATAAAATAAAATAAAATAAAAACTGGTATAACTACCTAATTCAATTTAATACTAAAATAAATCACAACCCAATTGCGCCACTCCCCGGCAACGGCGTCAAAATTTGACCGCGCATCGCGACGCGGAAAATTTAAATTTATAAAAGTTTCCTCGACTAACCTCTACTAACTGGTAGTAGCGGCGAGTAAGGGTCGATCCACGAGGAGAAAGAACTAAGTCGTGACAATTTTCGTATTAATTGAACTAAACTACGAAAGCAATAAAGATGGAGGGATTGATTTTAATGATAATAAAAATAAAAATAACAAAAGAAATAAAAATTAAATAAAATAAGTAAAGTCCAGTTTTCGGTTCAGTTATCACCCAATCTAAATTTACCGTTATTCAATTTCGACGCCTTCTTTAAATTGCTAATGAATTACCGACCCTAGCTAACAACAAGCTCTGTTAACCGAATTTTCCCTTACTGAATATTTAATCGAAATAGGCTCTTCGACTTAACCTAACCAGTGGACAACCTACAATAAACTCTCTAGATTTAATACACTAGCAACATTAATCTTTAGGAAAATAGATCAGTCTAAGCAATGGACGCACAAGCTCGGACCATTTAACTTATGTTCCCGCTACCCTAGAGATGCACGGCCTCTAGTTTACTACTAACGAAACAAAGACAATAAAAATTACGGATTAAAGTCTCGTCTCTTGCAGTTAAACAATGAATATTCAACGTAGCTGGCCAAACTAAATCAAACATCATAATTCATAAACATTAAACATAGATAACGTGAATCAACTCATCAACAAAATAAATACGACGTCTCGATTAATCAACAATAAATTCAAATCCTTAATTCATAGACAAATTCAAGTTAGGGTTCAAATATCCCCTAAAACTGGATAAAAATCCTAACCTAACATACTAATAAAAATTAATAAAAGATAAAAGAGAGAAAGATTATTTATCTCCCTCGTGTGCGGGTGCGGCTTCCCTCTGCGTGTGTAGACTCTTCCCAGTCTGTGCGTATGCTACCAGATGAGCTCTCTGTTTCTCTCTCTTTTTCCCTTTTTTCTGTCCGTGGTGTGAGTCTTCTCCCAATAAGAATATGCCTCGCCAATTAAGTCACCCCTGGTAGACTAGAGTCCAGCAAAATAAAATCATCTCCAAGTCAAAATGTCCAAGCCTGTTACGCGTGACTTTTTGTTGTTGCCTTTCTTTTCTCAATTAAGCCCTCTGTAATTAATTCTCCAAACATTCATATTAATACTTAATTTGGGCCCCACACTTCAATTCCAAAATGTATGTTATATTGGAGCTAAATTAACGGGTATGGGGAAGGTCCGATAATTGATCACGTAAATTTTCGTCCAATAGTGTGTCGTCCATAATAACACTTCACTATTCTCAAAATAAACATAAAAATATCAATGTATATGAATCCATCCAAGAAATAAATAAGTCGAAAAATATAAACGTGCGAATTAATTAAGTGTATAAAAATACACTATTAAATATATAAAACGTGCACATTTTTTGACATATAAATGTATCATGCTCTTAACTCTCTTAAACACCCACAATAGAGTAATAAGAAACCGCTCACACAGGCCGACATACAAAATTTCAATCTTTCAAGTTCACTGATTTTATTCTCTGTGTACCATCTCTATATTGCTTTATTGTAGGCATATGAGAGAGTTGGATGCATGATACATAGGGTACACTGTGGACGTGACATCATTGGCGTAATTAATGTTACTGCTTTGATTTGATGGCCAACTTATCAAATGTGTTGGAGCGAAAACCAGTCACGAAGATCCTGAGACAGAAATATTGTTCACATCACGGTGCACGTGAAAACGAAATAGCGGTGGTGATCCGTGTCTGACAGTGCGAACTTCAATGGGACAATTCTCTTGAATATTGGGCACATACTTTTCAAGCTCATGGTTCCTTTTCAGAATGATGAAACAGTTGTTATATCCATTTCATTTGTTAATTTTTTGTTGGTAAATTATGAACAACTCCAACAACTGGGCCTGAGATTTAAATTAGTATAGTATAAAAATATATCTGACACTGTTAACTTCATTCTCTCTCTAACTCTTACCCACGTAAATGTTATAGTTCTTAGACATGATAATAGGCGCATTTAGACAGTTAATTCTTAGTAGACGATATTGTTGACCGTCCTTTCCCTTATTCAGCCTCCACCAGGGAAAGGGACGTCACCCCTGGAAGTTATGAAGAATCTGCATGTCAGCCTGTGAGAGCGTTCTCTTTATTGCTCTATTGTAGGCGTATAATGGTAAATGTGGGTGTGACGACCCCGGATTCATCACCGCCGTTGTTTCAATTTCACTCGACTTTGATGTTACGTTCTTTAGTTTTTTTTTTCAACAGAAAATGTGGGCATGACGAGCACGGATTCACCACTGTCGTTTTGATTTCGCTCGGCTTTAACATTAGGTTCTTTTGTTTTTTTTTTTTCAACTAGTAAAATTAAAAATAAAATCAGAGGAACCGCTAGAACCGACCTGAACTAGGCTAAAATTGGCTGGTCGATGACCCGGGGCCAGTTCCGAGCCCATCATTTGAGGCCCGCCGATAGGCCGGGCCGGGTCGTGAACCGGCCAGACATTTGGACATGCCTAGCTTGAAGGAGATGCTCCTGCAATGAAGAGTACGAAAAAAAAAAAATGACAAAAGCTAGAGTCTGCAATGAAGAAAAAAAAAAGAGATCGATAGTGGAGTTTCTAAAAAAATAGATGAAAAAAAAACCGCTATAATAATTGACCCGTCACATTTGATGCTTAAAAAACTGAATGAGAATTAAAAAAAAAAATTAAATATTAAAATTGTCTTAATGAAGGACATTTTAAAGGGCATTTAAAGAATGTTAGATAGATAAGATCATCTACAATGCTTTTGGTTCAATCAAAAAAATTTGAATGTCACCTCGAAAATAGACTCAGTCTAAAAAAATATGCTCTCCAATGCAAGTGTAAGTGGACTATGTCTTGCTGATGTGGCAGCAAGAAAAAGAGATCTGATCTAACCTTAAGTCCATTTTAGACCCAAGTAGAGAACTAGTCTCCTTGCATTGGAGTAGATTTTATTAATTTTATATATTTTTGTCCATGTCATCCAAGATTTAGGTTCATTTACATTCCACATAGACAAAACTAGACATAAAGCATTGCAAATGCTTAAAATGGAATAATAAACACAACGTAACAAAAGAGTAATAATTTTTTTTAAAAGGCTAGAGAGTGCCATTAATCGATATGTTGTTTTTCCCTATCCAACACACATAACTTCAATTACTATAAGAACTATTGGGCATCTCCATTAGGTGTGAGCATTTGTCGGCACGGTTTAGAGATTGAAAATCTACAGAACCGTACCAAAATACAAAGATCACTAAATTCGATCTCGGGAAACCATATAAAAAATGCGCGACAGTTCGGTTCGATGATTTTAATTTTTCGTCTGTTCGGTTTCGGGACTATCTGAACGGTTCAGTTTGGTTCGAATCTTCAAAGATTTCTTTTTTTTTTTTAAGTTTTTTTGAATAACTACCTAATTATATTTTAATTTTTATATGCTTTACAAAAATAACATTCATCAATACTACATTATATTGAATATTTTATTTTGAAACCAACTTCAGAAGTAATTCTAGATTTTTAGTTATTTTATTTTTATATGCTTTAAAAAAATCAACATTCCTAAATATTTCTTCATATTAAAGATTTTAATTTGAAACAAACTTTGTAAGTAACTCTATATTTTAGTGAAGACTAAATTTGTGCAGCTAATATTGAAAATTTAAAATTCAAACAAAATATAATACAATATCTCTCTTAAAAAATGTTCTTAATCTTTCGTACCATTTTAATTATTTTTTTAGTAACATATATTCAAATGTAGATCATGTATTACTAATCATGAAATTTAGGTAAAGCTTAATTGTTTTTTAGCTTAATTGTTATTACTATATTTTATTTTCATTTTAAAAATTATCAAATTATAGAGGATCAAAGTTGACATCAAATATATTAATACATACATCTAATGTCATAATTCGGTTTTTAATTCCGGTTCTTCAGTTCGGTACAATATGAGATGGTTCAATTCGGTTCTCGATACGGATATTTGTGAAATCTCCAGAACCGTACCACTTATTTTTTCGGTTCGACTCGGTTCGGTTCAGTTCAGAAAAAATCAACCGTTCAACGGCTATTTTTCGGTTCGGAAAAAATTTTCCGAGTTTCATGCTCATCCCTAAGATTCTCCATACTGAACTGGTCCAACAAATCATAAATGAGAACCTTAGGCAAACTTCAAGCAAATAAATTATTAATTATCTCAAACACAAATTTATTCAATAGACGGCTCAAGTTTGCTACTTCAGTAATCAGCGCATTCCAACGAGAAAGGAGAATAAAAAATATATGCTTCTACAGACCTTCTGTTCAGATTTATTAACACAAACACGGCATAGGATAAAAGGCTGATCGAAAAAACATATATAGACTTCATCCTCTCCAATTATCCTTCCGTGTTCTCATTTCGTGCAGGGCCTCGACAGGTGATCTGCAGCCAACCTTCTCCTGCAAAAAATCAAGCCTCTTGTTTTAGTTATTAAGTGTTTTCAATTGCCGATTTCTGCCTCCGTTTGTTCATAGCATACTCAGAAAATTAGAAATATAAAGGCTATGGGTGCTTCATATTCTCTATTCTGCTTAGCAGCCAGTGTATAAAAAATGGTTCTTAAAGTAAAGCTCCAAAACGACTTCTTCTACAGTTACCAACTTCCATTTCCAAATACTATCATCTGATTAAATGAGTTCTTTTTAAGTTACCTGAACCTCGGGTAGATCAACACGCATGAATGGGTTTGTTTCCAGTTCATTCTCGATAGTTGATGGTACAGTTGGAAGACCATTCTTTCTCTTTTGCTCAGCCCATAACAACTTCTCACATATCTTCCCATTTTCTGGTTCCACAGTCAAAGCAAACTGCAAATTCTTCACTGTATACTGGTATGATAAATGAAATGGTTACTAAGTCATTCAGGGATAAGATGCAATTTGGATAACAAGCTAACATGTGAGAGAAGACAGAGAAAACAAAATCTGATGCAGAAGCGGTTAAAATCTAAGCTAAAATCAGAGGCGATGATCATAAATACTTTGTTTAAGGCTTTAAGCTATATGCTTTCCTGGCGTTGCGAAAAGAAACAGAAAATAAGACAGAATGTGAATTCTATATCTATAACTCGGGCAACTCAAGTTTAAATAATCAAACGAGGCAATGTCTTTGTTCTATACAGTGTATGTAAGATGAGTAACTTTCTTTATGAAAATTAAAAACCATGATGGAAAAATACAATGAACGAGAAAAAACACACCTCTTTGTTTGATAGTAAGAAATGATGAAATAGTGACCACAATAGTAAAGTACCTTTATTTTACAATTTTATTTATGCCAACTGAAATATCAAGTACAAAAAAAAAGGATTCAAACAGCTTCCCAATCTTCCTGTAAGCTTTCTGTATTTCTTGTCGTTTTATGCTTACATATATTATGACTTCTGGTTTGTTCCCACCCCATGCAATCATAAAAATATGAATCCACAGGCAGCTGAAAACACAGGATAGGTGTAGCAATTATACTTCATGAAGAAACTTGGACTCTTGTTATGAATGATATTTAGAGAGTCAAAAGAGCAGAATATAAGTAACAATAATAATACTGAAGTCAGCGCCAATCATGAAGAACAAGAACCTGAACAAGATGCCTTTTCTACGTAGGAGAAGATGAAAAGCATAGTCTCAAAGCATTTGAAGAGACCACATCAAAAACAAGATTGTAAACCATAATAATTAGTCACTTCTTGGTAGGGGGAGGGGCCCAAAAATCAACATTACTATGCTAAACATTATTTCATGCTTTACCTCATGACCACAATATACTCGGGTTGGCTTTGGCAAAGAACCAAGTGTAGTACATAGAGATTGGTACATTTGCTCTGCAGTCCCCTCGAAAAACTTCCCGCAGCCAGCAATAAACTGCATGTATAACAAGGAAATATAAACGAGAATAGAAAAAAGTTCCAGGCATTGCTTATTTGTGATAAAAAGGTACGGAAGGCCAAATTACTGCAAAATTGTTAGGTTTGTTTTCTTTAAAAGTATCACTTTACTACGCGATTCATTAACAAAATGCAGAATCATCATAAACTAAAAATATGTAGAATCAAACAATTCCTAACAACAAAAAAGTAAACCCTGACACAAATTAGTCTTACATTTACCATCAATAAGCAATTAATATAGAAAACCTTCACATTGACTAGATATTATAACTAGCTACTTAGTTTCAACACTGAATAAAGCAGTACTTTGTAATTTTAAGCTAGCTGGAATTGTTTTGCAATGTTGTCAAACCAATACTTTTATAATTACCCCAATCATACAACGGCTACCATGAACCTTGTAACCCCTGTCAAAATTTTCCTCTTTACCTCTAGTGAATTATCCAATGAGCACATAATAATAATAATAATAATAATAATAATAATAATAATAATAATAATAATAATAATAATAATAATAATAATAATAATAATCTGATAAATGAACATGATCATGGCCCACCAGTGTGTCGCCAGTAAAGACGGCAGGATCATCTCCATCCTTGGCTGTGACATAGTAACTTATATGACCCTTTGTATGACTGAAACCAGACAACATGGAAACTTAATCACTAGTCATACAAAATGATGAGATGAAATTATAACGAATCAAATAAATATAAATGGCACCTAAATTGCAAACGAGGAATGAAATAAATATAAACAGCCCTTAAATTGCAAAAATATGAAAGAAACAAAACAAGCCATTTACGTGCATACCATGGTGTATGCAGACACAATATATTGGTATCAGCCCCAAGGGATAATTTATCACCATTTTCAACTTTCTGAGTGCACGCTTTTATATTATCAACAGACCCACCCAAAATTTTAATGTTGGGCAGTAACTGTTTCATCTTCTCATTGCCACCGGCATGATCCCTATTATACAAAAGGGACATTCTGAATAAAAAAAAAAATACACAATGGTCCAACATATCTCATTTTATTCATATAAGTGATCATAATGCAAGAAAACCCCATTACTCCAACAGCATAACATCAAATGTGTATTTTAGTACAAATTTATGACTAAGAACATATAAAAACTTACAACCATCTCCGGAGATCTTCAGAGCATTCAACAATAACCCAACTTAACGCATAATAGAGGACTTGAATTATACAAGGAAATCCCATATCAAATTTTTATTTGGGAAAAGGGACAATTGGACTAAAAATTAATTGCACAAGCATCAATAATTACTGATCCAATTCAGAAATGCTGGATTACAAAAATGCTCGCTCACGCACACACTAGCTGAATAAGCAAATAAAACCATTAATCCAGTATATAATCTGGAAAATCATATATCGGGCAAAAAAATACCACAAAAATAAGAAGAAGCGAAATTACCAGTGGTGGTGAGTGGTGAGAACTAGCTTAAGTTCAACCCCGTTTTCTTGGGCGATCCGAAGAATCTTGTGAGGCTCAACGGGATCCACCACTGCTGCTTCTTTGGTAGCCTCATCGATAATCCTGTATAGCAACACGAATATTTTCAGTAAAATATTCGAATGACAATTAAAAAAGAGAAGGTATAATTGGGGGAGAAGACAAAACGGTTTAAGCTTTTCTCAATCGGATTACACATAGGAATAGTTATCTTCCAAGCATGGGATATGTAGGATTTGCATAGTTCTTCAGCGTCTGTGTTCGTTTAGAGAGATAGTGCGAGCATCAACGAAAAAGGAGATGGGTACGGATAGCATTGCTCTCGAGACAATTTTATTGCTCAATTAAACTAATATCTTTTAATGCATCAATTGATAGGGCAGTTTATTTATTTTTAAAAAAAAAAAATAAATAAGTAGACAAAAATAAAACAAAAAAAAAATGTGTGGAACAAAATCAAACAGCCGTATTCTCGGAATACGATTTTCTAAAAAAAAAAATAACTATAAAAACGTATTCCGAGAATACGTCTTCTATTTTTTTTAAAAAAAAAAAATGAAACTTCGATTAAATATATTATTCTAATATAAAAAAAATAGTAAATATAAAATGGAAAACGTATTATGGAACGTATTTCCATAATACGTTTTGCAGAAGAATTTAAAAAAATATATTTTTAAATTAAAACGTATTCTGAGAATACGGTTTACAAATAAAACTGTCGGTGGACGTATTCTCAGAATACGTTTTTAATATTAAATGTAAATAAAAAAAATATTTTCCTCTCCATTTCATACGCGAGAGAGCAGAAAAAAAGAAGAAGAAGAAGCGAAAAACTTCGGAAAAAAAAGTCGATCCAATCTTTACCTCGGTGTGAATCGACAACACCGATACGAGTCTCATTTTCGATTAATTCATTCGCACGAGGTATATTGGCTTATCTTTACTTTTTACATTATTTGGAGTTGTTTGGAGATTGAGGATTATTATAATATGTTTGAATGTGGTTGTGTTTGAAGATTGAAAATTGTTAATTGTTTATCGATTATGTGTGTATGTTGAATTGAGGATTGAAATTTTGTGTGTAAATTGTCAATTGTTTATTGTTTGATTGTTGTTGGGGTTAGGGTTGTTTGAAATTAGGGTTATAATTAGAGCTTTCAATTTATTCGAATTATACATGAATTTTATGTTATTGTTCGATTATGAGTATTAGGTTTTGGATGATTATTTGATTGAGAATTTTTTTAATATTTTTTTTTTGTTGGAGTAAAAAATTGAGTTTTAAATTTTATTTAGAATTGAAAGTGTATTTTTGCAACAGGTATAAAATGGCTTCTCCCGGTCCGTACCTTGTTAACTTGTACTGGCATTTTGGGAAGGAAATGTTAAGTGATTTTGTTTCGTTTAAAGATCGTCCGAGTGGTTCATTTATTATTCCGGGGAGAATATCATATGAACAGTTGGTACAAATGATTAATGCAAAATGTCAGTTTGAAGAAGGTTGGACAATTCAGGAGATTACTATGATGATTAGCCAACCTGATGGTTCATGGAGTCCTGCAATACTCAATAACGATAGTTTTGAATGGATTTATTACTTTCCTAGTATGTCCATGGTGTATTTGCATTTATCGTTGCAGGCGAATACACCCGTTACACAGTTTGAGGATTTTACTCCTTGTTACGGGGGAGTGTTTGATGTCGAGGGTACATCGACTTCTCATATACCTAATTTTGGAGAAGGGACATCGAGAGAATGGGCGGCGGATGAGGACGATGAAGATTTTATTCCCGGTGAAGATGACTTCACAGACGAGACCTCAGAAACCGAATCAGATAGATCGGTTAATGAGGAGAGTGAAGCCGAGTTCTTCGAAAAAGAACACCCATTTCCTAGCGGTGGTCGGCGCATATACCGCGAGATGGGTGAATGGGACCCCTCCAGGATAGATGTGAACGAGTATGCTATTCCACTCTGGAATGGCGACATTGAGTCCATACGTTGAATACAGTATTCCGGAGCAAGGAAGAAGCTCAAACGGGTATAATGGCTTGGAACATCGATAGGTTGCGGGAGATTCGGACAAAAGATTCAAATAAGAAGACATTCAAAGTGGTCTGCAACTCGAATGCTGATGTGCCTTGTCTGTGGAAGGCTTGGGTGAATAAGGCCAAACGGCGTGATGATTTGTGGGAAGTAACTGAATGGACTGACCAACACACTTGCATGCAACAGGTCGACAGAAATGACCACAGAAACGTGACCGCCCATATGATTGCGAATCTTATGATTAATAAGATTCAAAGAAAAGTGGAGTACAACATTAACATGGTCCAGGCTGATGTGAAACAGTGTTGGAAAGTCGACGTCAGTTACAAGAAGGCATGGCACGGCAGGAAAAAAGCAATCGAGTGTGTGTACGGTAGTTGGGAGTCGAACTTCGCAGAACTCCCTCAGTAAGCAAAAATTAATTACAAATATACGTGTTTTTTATCTGTCATGATGTTTATTTATTTATGAAATTATTGGTATTGTACAGATATTTTGCCGAACTTCAAAGAGCGAATCCAAACACAGTTGTAGATTGGGAATTTCAGGGTGGTGATATGGCGCGACACGTTCCAAACTGAGAATTCAAATTTGTGTTCTGGGCGTTTGGTCCCGCGATTCAAACCTTCCAAATGTGTCCGCCGGTTATTAGCGTCGATGGCACTCATTTACGTGGACATTACAAAGGAAAATTGCTCGTGGTCGTAGCACAGACTGCGAATAAGCGGCTATTGCCAATCGCGTATGTGCTTGTCGACGAAGAAAGCACGGACAGTTGGTCATTTTTCCTTAGGAATCTGCGGCGATATGTTGTAGGCGGCTCTACACAGATATGCATTCTTTCTGACAGGGATGCGGGGCTACGCAGTGCGATTGAATCATTACCGGATTGGCAAGAACCCGCTGCGTATCACCGGATTTGTCTTCGACACCTTCGAAGCAATGTGGTGACTAGGTTCAGGAGTAAGAAAATCCGGGATTGGTGTTGGGAGTTGGGTTCGCAGTTGTCGAAGCAAAAGTTTCGACAGACAAAAGAGCGACTTCGTGAATTTAATCTCGACGCATACAATTACCTTTTCAACATTCCTTTGGACCGGTGGACCCTGTATGGAGATGGAAGACGTAGTGGGGCACCTTGACAACGAACATGTCGGAGAGTTACAACAACGTACTGAAAGGTGTTAGGTTCTTGTCGTGCAGAGCTTTGGTAGACGGTACATTTCACAAAACTCTGGATTTGTTTCGACAAGAACAAAACAAGTCCAGCAGATGCAGGACTCCCATTGCTAGGGAGCACTATGCCGCATTTGTGCAGCTGGAGCAAACAGCCGCAAATCACGAGATGGAATGTACAGACTACAACAGATCCATGTACGCGGTGACAACCGGTCTACGTGCTAGTGGAAGAGGGCAAAACAAGTAAGTATATGCTTTTTTTTTATTTTTTTTATTCATTCAACTTTTTTATTTTGTATATATATAAATCAATTTGGAAATACAGGTATAATGTTGATTACACCGCACAACGTTGTAGTTGTCGGAAGTGGCAGACGCATAGAAAACCGTGTTCTCATGCAATAGCTGTCTGTCGTAGAATTTCAGGTGACCCAAAGTTGTTGTACGATGAGAACTTCTGGACGTCGACCTGGGTAGCTCAATTTACTAATTGGAGTTTCACTCCGATTGGTAATCCAGATACATGGGCAGAGGTGGGATGGAATTTGATTCCACACTGGGAGAGGATCATCTTGAAGCCTGGACCCGGTCGCAAGCAAACGAGACGCTACCGCATGCAAATGGATCGTCGGGCACGACGCAGAAATGAAAGGGGACATTGTACTACATGCGGTGATCCAGAGCATGTTGTGGATGAGTGTCCGTCCTCACATCCTCGCAGCGATAGGTCTAGACTTCGTGATGTGTGGGGAGATTAGATTTTTTAGTGCTTATTTGGATTTGTTTGGATTGTTTGTTTGGATTTCGTTAGATTATTTATTTTGTTTTGTTTGTATGATTTATTTGGACTTGGTTTGATGGTACTTATGGTACATTAGTTGATTTGCTCGTGTAATTTTGGTGTAGTTGGTTGTTTGGAATATACATAGAAAAGTGTAAAAGGACGAAAAATGACAAAATCGAGCTGCAGTTGGGTCACACGACTCGTGTGAGTAGATGACACGAGTCGTGTGGCTACAAGCTAATGAAATTTCAGCTACGAATTTTTCACACGGGTCGTGTGTCTCGTGACACGAGTCGTGTGACGTCACACGACCCGTGTGAGTTGTCGTGTGAGGGGTCGTGTGAGTCTGGGAGTTTTTTTTTTTTTAACTAAAAACGGATTCTAAGAATCCGTTTTTTAAATAAAAAAAAATAGCAGAGGCTCCCAGATTGAGGACTCAAACCCGGGTCTATGGGTGAGTCCGTTTTCTCTGGGCGCACCTCGTACCATTAGGCCGCTCTAGACTATCGCTGATATTTTGGCACAAAATATTTTCTTATACTTCAACATCAAATTAATACAATTGAAGTCAAATTTGTACAATTCAAGTCAAATTAATACAATTGAAATCAAATTTATACAATTGAAGTCAAATTAGTACAATTGAACTCTAATTAAAGTCGAATTAGTAGAATTTAAGTCGAATTAATATAATTAAAGTCAAATTAATACAATTGAAGTCAAATTTGTACAATTGAAGTCAAATTAATACAATTGAAGTCAAATTTGTACAATTAAAGTCAAATTAATACAATTGAAGTCAAATTAATACAATTGAAGTCAAATTAGTACAATTGAAGTCAAATTTATACAATTAAAGTCAAATTAATACAATTGAAGTCAAATTAGTACAATTGAACTCTAATTAATA